CAAACAAAAAAAAAAAAAAAAAAACACATCTTAGTAAAACCAATACCTTCTCAGCTTCACATCAAAGCTAAAATAAGTATGCTTTTTAATACCAAAAAAATTTTTATATATATTTTTAATTTTAATTAATATTAGTTACAACTAATCAATTCTTATTATAAAATAAAAGTAAATAAATAAAATTATGATCAGTAGATTGGATAAATTGCTTTCTTGATAAGGATCTAGATAACAGTGTAAATATTATTTATGGACATATAATATATTTTTTATTTTATTTTATTTTTATTAAATACACGGAATAAACATTTTGAACATGTATACACATTATACATATAAGTTATACATTAATTGTACAAATATGATAAATAATAAATTAACAGCTATTCAGTTAATTATAGGCAAAGAAGAAATGAAGGGTCAATGTTGGCATTTGACATCATACGTGTAATAGGCTCATTTTTAAGGTAATTAGTAGGAGTGAAAGGAACATAAAAAGGAGCAATAGATCGAGAATGACATTGAGGAACTCTAAAACAGATTAAGGAAAGCAAATAGGGAGAGTCAATATTACCTTGTAATAAACTATTTAGGAACTTAATACCCAAGATCCGTCTATGCTCAGCCAGCAAAATCAGCCCTAGTTAAGAAGCAACTGGTCCATAGTTGTGGGGTTCACAAGGGATATTCAATCTATAACTAGCATATCTCATAAATTTACATTGAACCCTTTCTAGTCCAAGAGAGTCATTGAGGTCATTCGGATCCCAAATTATTACACCATACTCAACAATAGGGCGAATCTGTGCACAATAAAGTATTTTGTATGATAGACCTAACCGAAAATCACTACATAATCTCAACAAAAACCCCAGAGTTTTAAAGGCCTTACAACAAATATGCTCAATGTGGAGTCTAGGATCAAGATCATTACTAAGAATAAATCCTAGATCAGATACAAAGTCATTAGAACATAAAATCTCAGTAGATCCGAGATGATAGACATATTTGATAGGTGACTGAATCCTGGCAAAAGTCATGGTCTTACATTTAGATGCATTAAGGGATAGCCCTAGTAAATTAAACCACTCCGTGAACTGATCAAAATTACTCTGTAATAAAATACAGTCATCCAAGGAGGATATACGAGAGTAGAGCTTAATATCATCTGCAAAACATAAAATCTAGCTATTGGAAAGTACACTTGATACACTGTTAATGAATAGAGAGAACAGAAGCGGAGATAAATGACATCCTTGAGGAACAACGGACGTAGCAAGATAGACATTAGATTTTACTACAAGCAATTTGACCCATTGGTAACGGCAAGAGAGGTAAGACGAAAACCAGGATAGGAGAGGTTCACCGATTCCGGATAAGTTAAGGTCCTGGATTAGAGCATTGTGATTAACGGAATCAAATGCCTTGTTGAAATCTGTGTAAATAGTATCTACCTGTCTTTTCAAATTAAAAGATTGGTATAAATAGTTGTTAAAGATTAAATTACAGGTAATGGTGGAACGACCAGGGCAAAAGTCATGCTGTTCCTCCATAAGAATTTTATTGATCGAAGGTTGGATACAATGCAAGATCAACAATTCAAAAATTTTGGAAATGTGTGACTGGATTGAAATCGGATGATAGTTGGAAACATTGGACAGTTCACCGCACTTGTATACGGGGGTAACTGAGCTCAATTTTAATATAGAAGGAAAGATTCCTTTTTCAAGTGAACCCTTAAAAAGAGTCCAGAGGGGGAAAGCTATAATATTTTTTAATTGATATAAAATAATAACTTGTAGATCCGTCCAGCATAAGCGCAACTAAAACCAAAATTGTGAGAGTACTAAGTTATGCTCAAAAAAAAAGTCTTATATATATATGTCAATATGTTAAAATATGTCTTATATATATTATATATAAGACTGTGAAAACTTTTACTTCTGTCAAATTAAAAACTCAAACAAAGTATCCAATCTGGTTCAGTAAAAAATTAAAATCAAGTTAAAATTTAAAAAAATTAACAAATTATTTTTACAAAAAATTTAGTTCATTAATTAAATATAAAGAACACCGCTTCTATGTAATTAATATTAGAAACTAAGATACTTTGAACATTCATGTCATATTAATAATGTTCAATATAATAAAATTAAACCCCAAAATACTTATAAATAAAATATTATTCAGCGTGTATTGTAATAGTTATAATATATAGCCTTATTATTTCTCCATTTACCGTTAATCCTACTTATTTAGTTGATATGAGATATTTTTATCGAACTATGGTTTTTAATTCAAACAATTCTTGGTTTAGATAATTTACCTGCTTTACTTTTAAAAAACCCAACACAGTGGGGACGTGGCCTAGTGGGGTCAAGTATTAAAGTCACTATCATAAGAAACGCTTTGATGCTAATCTGTTTTTCAATTTTTAAGGGCAATATCTTTCACTAGATACAATTTGTGATCTTTTGATGTATTGTTGAAAGAAATCAGTTTCGTGAAAGCTGAGAAAAAGTGGTAATAAACAAAAAAAATTATGTAAATGATAAGGTACAAGACTAAGTACATGTGATAATCAGTGCTCTGTAATATTTTTCCTAAACAACCTATATTAAGGTGTTTCTTGGTGTCATGGTTTCATAGGTGGAAGCAACATACCTATGTTTTGTTTATATTAGGTTTATTTCATTTTATACATTTTTTCCTTGTTTATGTACTGTTTTCAGGTATTATTATATTAATGTTGTAGTTAAAATATTATTTCGTAAATAAATAAATAAATATTTCAAAGATATTTTGGGAAGTGTAGTTTTAATTTAAAATATTACTCAAACGAGTATTAAATAAATGTAAAAAATTCTTCTTAAAGGTGTAAAAGCTGATCAACAAGTATTAAAAACTGTACTTGGAAATTATTTACCTGATGTATGTGAACTTTTACAATTACATGACATTGAGTTAAGTTTGATAACAGTTAATTGGTTTTTAACTTTATTTTCAAATGTGGTGAATTTTAAAGTTTTATTAAGAATTTGGGATTTATTGTTTTATGAAGGATCCATCATACTGTTTCAAATTACGATTGGTCTTCTTAAATCTAAAGGTAAAATTACACTTAACTTACAATATTGAAAAATATGTATTTATTTCTAAAATAATGTTAAATATTAATTTGTATTTTTGTTTTTTTCAATTCTAGAAACTATTTTGAAAACTCTTGATAACTCAGCAGATATTTTCAATGCACTATCTAATATTCCTGGTAATATTAATAGTGTAAAAGATCTTTTTTATGTAAGTATATTATACAAATGATTAAATTTATTTGGAAATATCCAGTACATATAAAAATTGAACATCTACACTATATTTTATTTCTATAGATTCTATAGAAATAAAACGTATTTTTATGTTTTTAAGCATACTATTTATATATGAATATTTTATCTTAGATTTCTTTTGAACTATGTCCAGAAATGACTAATGAAAGTATTGAAACTTATCGAAGGAGGTATTTAGGATATTTAATGGCTGATGGAGGTGCATTAATACCAACTGTTGAGTCATCAGTGAACTTGACTAAACATCTCAATAGGTATAATTGTATTCTAATATAATTCTACTTCTATTTGAGAGCTAAAAATTCAATTGTATAATATTATTTTCAATTAAATTTTTTCGAAAAGAAGACAAGCTCAAAAGTCAAAATCATTAATGCAATCACTGTTATTTGGATATGATACTATTGAAGATACTAATAAATGTACTGTCAAATGTAAAAATATTCGTCAAACTGGTATGATTGAATAATTTCAAAGTATTATTTTTAAATGGCTTTTAATTTTAAATACAATATTTAATAATTTGATTGTTTCCAACAGAAAAAAACATGTGCATATATCATCATAGATTTGTTTAACCCAATCCTACCCTAGAATATTCTTGGAGTAGATTTAAATGGGGGAAGCCACTCCATTTTATATCGACATATTAGTGTATTTACATAGTTTGCTTAGATAAAAAGTTGTGGTATTATGTTTTACTCTTTATTAACCACATCCCATAAATATAAGCTGGATATAAAAGTCATAAATTAAAATCCTTAATTTATTTATATTTGCTAATTTTTGCGATTATTCTAAGCAAAAAACTGAATTGTAGTCATAAACAAAAATTTTAGAAACCCCAAAATTTAAACTAAATGCCTAACATATAGCTTTCTTTAATATTTGAATTTTTTTTCATTAAAGTTTTAATTTAAAACTTTTTGTGTAATAACAATACAAAAATAATACACAAGATATTAAAAAATTGTTTAACCTTAATAATTAAGGTTAAACATTTTTTTAATATTTTGACTTTTGTGGTGCATAATTAATCTCCTTATTGAATTTAGGGGAAAAATAACTTTTTTTCATGTATTAGGGAAAAAGCCACTGCTTAAAGACAAATTAACTAGGTAAAAAATTGGATATGATTTTTAAGATAAATGCTGGCAGTTGGTCAGGACCGTGTATTGGGTCAATAACAAGTTGACTTAGACAGTCAAATATGTCAGCAAGACTTATGTCATAGTGGGACATATTTATTAAATCATCTATAAAATTTAAATTATTATTAATATTTTTATTTACATTATAAGGTGCTGACAAATAATTGCTTTACAAGAAATATACTACTTTGGGGTCATCTGAGTGAACATCATTATAATATATAACAGATGGAAGATTATTATTTTTCATAAATTATTAATATACTTTCAATAATATTTTGGATTGTCAATCAGTGTTTTTGTGTTTGACTTAAGTATTCATTTTTAGGGTATTTTTTCAATTTTCATCAGAGTTCAAACATATAGATATTTATCATTATTACCAGTTATTTTATACCTATTATGGGCTTCTCTTTTTTTACGAAAAATTTTTATTAATTCAGCATTAAACCATTAAGGAAAATTATAATATTATTATTAGAAAATAGAACGAAATTTTGAAACCAATGCTGAATAATTAATATTTTTTGTTTTCTCTTATTATGAATTTAAAAATAATATTTTTAAATAAAATTTATTACATTTAATGTAATGTAAATTTTAATAAAAAAAAAAATTAATTAACGAATGCACTAATCTGCAATTATTGAAATTCAGAATACTTGACCATGTCAAACTTTCAACAAAATCAAAAAATTAATGACAAAAATCCCACTAATGAGCAACAGTTCATAAAAAACATTATTTATGCACTTTTAGATAAGAAACAATTGTATAAAATTTATAAAATGAAATCAAATCGACTTCTATCAATTATAAAATCCGCTATAATTAATTACTTCGAAAATCATGACTTAGTAAAATTTCATAAAATAATGGTGAATTTCTGACTGATATACAACAACGTATCCAGCACACTTTTCTATCTATAAAGCTGATAATAAACTTGTTAACCCTTTAGCAGGCGCGTGCCTATTTTTAACACGCTTATATTAGTTTCACCTGTATGTATGTATGTATGTATGTTTGTAACTCTCCAAACGCTACGCGTTATCGCATATTCCTTCGTCTAGACTAGACTGTCATAACGCATTCACCCCACCCTACGCCTCGCTCATAACACGCCGGCAATATTATTCCTGTATAAATTTATTTTTAACACGCTTATATTAGTTTCACGTGTATGTTTGTTGTTTGTTGTTTGTTGTTTGTTTGTCGTTTGTAAGTTTGTAACTCCACGCGGCACGTGTTATTATGTCGCGTATCCCGTCGTGTATGACCTTGAGACTATACTGTTGTAATGCATTCGCCCCACCCCGCTCACCACTCGTAGACAACAATATTTTCTAACCCGTAGACGCGCGCGTGTCATCAATTATGTATATATATAACAAATTTTTATTGTAATTGACACGGCCCGCGTCGTTTCATTATACACAATGCCCCACGACTCGTGCCACCTTTATCAGCCGTCGCCCTATTATGAGTATTTGACTGACCAACACCTCGCGTTATACGCCGCTGTGCAAAGTCCAGCAAGCGCCGCACGCCATACGACATTCCGCCGCAAATGATACCGTAGTCTTCTTCCCGTTGTCAAATTGACAACGTCTACAATTCGATCCGCACTCGCGCACCGTCGCTATCAACGCTGCTAACCTGTTGACGTCCGAGGAACACGCCGGATAACGCATCGTCGACGCCAGCGAAAGTGCCGGATATTATGCGAAGATTATATATTCTTACCATCGCCGCTAATATTTATATATATATACATATATATATTAATATTTATATATACGTATATGTTAATATTCATTTATATATTCCTACAGCCGACGCTGCTGCCGCCGTATGTACCTCGTGTATATCGTTCCCCCCGCCACGCCCGCCCACAAAACACGGCTATACCTCGTGCATGATACGTTTACGTACTTAAGTAGCTTTACATATATATATATATTTTAATTACTATTAAAACTTATATATTAATACGCTATATTCTCATTAAGAGATATATAGTGTATTCATTCCGATTACGGGGGATGATTGCCGTATTGTCATTTTTCGTCACTACCTTCACGTTGCGCGCTTGCTGCTTTCCTTGGATGTGGTAGCCGTTTCTCAAACTCCCACTCTGGAATCGAACCCTGATTCCCCTTTACCCGTTACAACCATGATATTGATAGTAACTACTATCAAAACATGTAACTAAAAAGTGAAAAATAAATATAGTTTAAGAAAACTNGTTTAAAAAACTAAAAAAACACGCTTTTAAAGTACATCGAACTAAAAAGTTAAAAATAATTTTTAAAATAATTATGAACAAAAAATACTAGTATTATTGTGATAAAAGCGTGGGTGCTTTGTGCCATATTTTTCGTATATTGAGCGCCCGACGCTTCGTACATTATTGTTGTAGTATTTTTTGTTCATAATTATTTTAAAAATTATTTTTAACTTTTTAGTTCGATGTACTTTAAAAGCGTGTTTTNACGATGGCACACTATTCCTATAAAAATTTATTTTTAGTTATCGTACCCGTACACGCTTGCTTGTCATCAATATTATATATATATAAACAAATTTTTATTTTGACTGACCATTATCATCCGCGTGCATACGGCTTACGTATATATTCCTACCGCCGTTTATACCTCAGGTTTAACGTTAGTCTGACCTGCCCGCCCGCAAAATACGGTTATACCTAGTGCATGATACGTTTACGTACTTAAGTCGCTTTACTTGTATATATACAGGGTGTTCAGTAAGTCAGGAAACGGGTTTCTATTGTTCTCATTGTTACAAACAATGAGAACAATAGAAACCCGTTTCCTGACTTACTGAACACCCTGTATATA